CCTTTTTCTTCTTTCCGTCCTCTCCTGTTGTCAGGTTTGGACCAGGAACTCCTTGCTCTCTGTGCTCTCGTTGATTCATACCTCCTCCTGTTGAGCTCATCTACAGTCCACCTGCACACGCTTCCTCAGTCTCGTCAGAGCTGCCTGGAATTATTTACTGCTTAATGGCCTACAGCAGCTCACACCAGCCCAGTGGTGCTTTGCTTTATTTATTGATTTCCATTCCTTTGGTCTTTGTGTGTGTGTATAGGACAAGGACACATTACAAAGATAAAAAGGAAGACGCCCTGCACATATCAGAGCTGGTGAAATGACCTGCGGACTCGGAGATTAATTGATTTGATGTTTCAAGGCTAATGGGTGATTTGACTGCTGCGTGTGCTTCCATCTGTTGACATGACAGAAGCATGTGACCATGTGTGACGGTGTGCGCTGACGCACACCATAATGACAAACACCAGCTCCTGCAGGCGGAGGAGATTAAAGATCTTTGAACTTAACACATTTTCTGCTCTTTTCTGGGTTTTTTAGCTAAAACATTATATTCAATAGAGAAAACCAAGTTTCAGACTCTGCATCTTGATTCTTGTCACCGAACACAGTAAACCGTATAATGCATCTCAAAACATTAGAATATTGTGAAACTTTTGTTTGTCAGTCATTTCAGAAAGTGAAAATCATGAAATATTTCAAGCCTTTATTTCAGGTAATTTTTTATGATTATAGCTCATAAATAACGATGCACCTGTATGTAAATAAGTGAAGTCCGTACTGTATCATGTTGCTCTTATATTCTTGTAATACACATTTTTTTCTTGTTCTTCTTTCGGCTGCTCCCTTCTTCAAGGGTCGCCACAGTGAACCAGCTCGCATGAAGACGGCAATTGTTTTTACACCAGATGCCCTTCCTGACACAACCACAGACCACCGAGCTACCACAGCCCTCAGTGTGGAGCAGAGAGCTGCCGACCGGGGCCTCCAGGGGAGCAGATGGTGGATGTTAAGGGCCTTGTTCAAGAGCCCAGAGTGGGGCAAACAAGGGTGGAGGTAGGTGTGGGTGCTTCACTGTTCCTGCCCACATTTTGATGTTGTTGGCCCATGGGGACGAAAGTAATGAATTACACATACTCATGTTACTGTAATTAAGCAAATTTTTGGGGTACTTGTACCTTCATGAGTATTTCTTTGACGTGTATAATTTGACTCATACTTAATTACAATTTAGACCATGTCATCTACTTCACTACTTTTAAAATCAGAAGTCGCTACTGAGTACAGCTGCAATTTGAATTAATATTCAAACCAACAAAGTCCATGCTCAATAATCCAGGTATACAATCCAAAATTTTTCAGTCAGGTCATTTGGACAGTTTTTTTTTTTTTTTTTGTGCTGAAACGTTCATCTGCATCTTTGTAGCCAATAAAGCTCTCAAATCGTGACCGCAATTACCTATGACGTAAGCAAAGATCAACTCTGTATAGAGAGTCATTTAGAGTACTCCACAGCCAAACGAAGCTGGATAGACTCTGTTCACTTGAAAAAACAGCTCCTGTTGGTCGCAGTGTATTTGGAAAAGTTTAAACTGTTCTATGTCGATTCAAAAACATTTTTGTCTTTCTTTTAACAAACAAAAATTCCAGCTTTATCTACATTTGTTTACAAAAGAAATTGTCTTAGTGTAATTTTTCTGTACTTTATTGTTCAACTGAGAAATGTGCTTTGAATGTACCGTAGCTATTATATACAGTAAATCAAATTAAATGTCTTCTATTGTCAACACAATAAAACATCAATTGGTTAAAAAGTAATTAATACTCTGAGTAGTTTTTGAGAAGAGTACTTTGTACTTTTGCTTAAGTATTTTTATAACACTAATACTTTTACTTGCAATTGAGTACAATTTAAACAGTGTAACAGTACTTGTACTTGAGTACAAATTTTCAGTACGCTTTTCACCTCTGCTGGTCCGGGGAATCAAACCTACAACCTTCCAATCACAGGCTCACCTTCTCCAGCGCCGGTGCCACTACTTCCCCCCTTTGTAATACCATATACTAAAATAATACTCACTTTTTTTTTTATTGCTTCGTGTTTTTATCTTTAAGGAATAATTTTCTTTGTAGTTTTGTGGAAAGATTGTGAACAATCAGTATCTTCCCTGTTGCAGATAACTCTTTAAACAAGCTTATGATGAAGAAATAGTTTACTTCTGAGCTAACAAATACTCTAAGGGGGGCAAAATTTAAGTAGAATGTTGTCATCTAAAATGATTCTATTCTCTATTTTCAAAGTTGTTCATAAGAACATTATTTAAATTTTTTTTGCACTCCCCAACGGTGACATTGCATGACTATTCCAGCAGTAAAAATAATATTCCTGCTAAAATTGCCCCAAGCTGCACTGGAAGTCCACAACTAGCTGCTGTTGCTGCTGTTCATTTAATTTCCTTTAGTTGTACAGGTTAGTTTCACTGAAACACAATTGTTTCTTTTGGTAGAGACACTTGTCCTGCTGCTGCTGTTTTAAAAGTGCTACAAGTTGTTTTGAAACAGCAGCAGTAACCTTTGGTCTTGGCTCCCCATTTAATGTCTCTTTTAGCTAGTTTATCTTCAGACATTATTTTTTAACTTTTTTACCTTTTTTAAGCAACATTAATTAAATGTCTTGCATGATTGTGTTTTGTGATTTGTTTTTATGTATGTTTGAATGTATTTTGATGCATTAAACTCATACGAGGTTCATGGGAGCGAGGGTGGGGAAGGAGAATACTATTAAACTTTATACCATACCATACCACACCATCCCACACCACATCACACCATACCATACCATACCACATCACACCATACCATACCATACCATACCATACCATACCATATCATACCATACCATACCATACCATATCCTACCATACCATACCATGCAGCACCATACCATACCATATCACACCACACCATGCCATACATACCATACCATACCATGCAGCACCATACTATACCATACCACACCATACCATACCACACCACACCATACCATACCATACCATACCATACCATACCATACCATACCATACCATACCATACCATACATTCCAGATACCATACCACACCACACCACTTTATTTATAAAGCACTTAAAACAGCAAAAAGTCCAACCATAGTGTTGCTGATATATATTTATAAACCTATTTAAACTCTCCAACATTTTTCAGTCAGGTCATCTGGACAGTTTCTTTTTTTTTGTGCTAAAACTTTTCGCCTTCGATCCGGAAGGCTTCATCAGTCAAGGAAACACGCAACACAAAACTGATTCTTCCCCCAACAGCTTACTCCAAAGTGGAACAAACCAGTTATGTTGGTGCTAAGATGATCTCTTTGTCACGCCCCCTCCTCCATTGCCGACCCTCTTCCTTTTTGACAGTCATGTCAAACTGGTTGAAAACAACAAAGTCCATGCTCACTAATCCAGGTATACAATCCAACATTTTTCAGTCAGGTCATCTGGACAGTTTCTTAATTAAACTAATTAAACTCTATTTCTCCAAACCGAGGTTGTACAAAGAGCTATCTGCAACAGGTAAGATACTATTTGTTCACAACCTTCCAGATATATCCATTTCAGAAGATCTGAGCTATTGCTTAAAAACCTTTTCACATCTGAAATTCAGGCCACATCAGGCCTTCTAAACTCCCTCTTGTTTAATAATTGCAACAACAAAAAAAGTCAACAAATGTGTTAAATGGGTTTATTTTCATTGCATTTTTAATTGTTCTCTTGTTGTTAATGTTCAGGAATGTTTATATTTTATGACTAAATACTAACTGTGTATATTGGAGTTTAATACTTTAAAATAACATTTTTTTTATCTTTACTTTTGAGATGTAAAAAAACACTTTCTCTTTTTATTTTTTCAGTCAATATTCTGGAAGAAAATCGTCAGAAAAGGGACAAAAATTAAACGTCTATCAAGTTATGTAAAACTGAGTCTATCAATGCATAAAAGGTGTCATTTTTCCATCCTTCGATTGTGTAGACTGTGATATTTGTTCTGCCTTGAAAAAGGAGGTTCTCACCATAAAAATACTTAAAATTTTTGGACATAATCAGAAAATGAGATGTTTCACATCATTTGAGGGTGGAAGTGTAATCTAGACTCATTTGAATAAAAACAAAATCAGATGTGATAATCAAGAAGGCTGCAGGTGTCCATCAAAAATTAGAAATACCCATTTGCATATCGCTGCTCTCTATCTTATGTCCTTTTTCATTCAGAAGCCACTAAATGCAGCACATGGAGTAGATGTGGATTGGAAGCAAAATCATCAGCAGAACCTATCTCCTGGGAACATTTTGTTGTTTTAAATGAGCTCTGCAGCAGCTCCATGCTCCCTCTGTCCTTTGGCTGTCAGGACTCCATTTCAACGTGAGAGATGTGGAGCTCTTTCCAGAATGACAGATTACGTAGCACCAAAAATAAATATATTTATATGTAGAAATAAAGATACAATACTTGAAAAATCTATTATCTGAATGGCACCAGTGCTCCCATTGGCCCTGCATGTCTGCTGTGTGAGAAGGATGCTGATTTGGCCAAACCTCCAGTGCTCTGACTGGATTTTAGATCAATGAAAGAGAGGGAGGTGTGTGTGCGTGTGTGTGTGTTTCAGCCACAGCTGTTGAGCTACCCCACGTACGTGCTCAAACCCGGAGAGACGCGCAGAAAGCGAAGAGGAGAGGAGGAAAGAGGAGAGGAGGCAGCCGTCCGTTTGCTCTGCAGACGCATCAGCTCAAGGATCCCCCCCCCC